TCAGAAGTCATATCACCTAGATCACAGGAATGAGTTTGTGTGCCTGGTTTCCTCTGGTGGTTATCAACGGAAATGCAGTTGAATTAATCAAACTCGTTCTGTACATTGTAAGCAATAATGTTTGTTGTGTCTTTTCTCGTTAGTGGTAGAATATGTGCTTTGATTTTGGTGCTGAAACCAAAGATTTTTAGTTGAATGGTTTTCTTAAATCTTAAGTTAACAGGAGAGGAGGGAGGTGAATTGTAGCCAATGTTGGATTTGAAGAGAAGACTCTTCCCAACTGTTTTGATAGCCATGAGAGAGAGTCTGCTTCCATGTTTGAGTGTTTCGGAGCCGCGGGGCTCTGTTTTTAATGCCTGACCAAAAGAGACAAAGTCTGGGTCAATGAGTTGATCATGTTGAAGATAATTCTTCTTTTCCCAAAGGCTGTGGATTTCAGTCTTCCAATGCACTCATTTGGGTTCCTTGTTTGAAAAAAAAAAAAGTAAAGGGGTAAAAAAGAAAGTGAGGGGATGAAAGAGATAGCATTCCCCTTTTTTCTGTGCTTATTTATTTATTGTTATTTATTATGGTTCTTCTGCTGAAACTCTTTGTGAGACCAAATCCAAGGGTGGGACACATATTACAAGTCTTACAAGACGCTGCATTGCGCTAAAGATTTTGATTCTTCATGTAACTTAACGCCTTTTTTTAAAAACGGGCTGCGTGTCTTCTTTTGGCGATTCTTCCTCGAATGCATTCTTTGCACATTTAATCCCGTCAGGTACTGCAATAATACAGGCACATTCCATCCTCCGGGGTACAGAGAGGAGGGAACAGAGCAAAGAAGAAGTCAGAGGGTTCAAAACCTTCAATGGAACTGGAACACAAAACGACTTTGCTGTTTGACATTTTCAGCGCGCTTTTTCTGTTGTTAATTTAACACGTATAGTACTGTATGACATATTAATATGGCAGTTCTTATAGATCGGCCACCGCTGTGTCTAAAGGGGCCATTATTCTTTGAGTTCGACCAAAAACTATCTTGTTTTCATCATGCTTTTCCCTGGACCGGTACATTAAGGCCTTTTGCAGGGTGTAATGCAATCTTTAATGGCTTTAAACGACAGCAGTTGTCTTTTTATTTCCCATTCTCTTGAAACCTATGTAGTCAGAACCTGCTGTAGCAGTGGCGCTGGTCTGGCCTTGTGTGCACTATCCGCTCCTTGTTGTGTAGTAAATCTTTTTTTTAATTTGCACTATGAGATTTGAGAGCTTCACGCCTTTTTTTGTCTGACCTTGAATATCTAGTCCATTAACTCACTCGATACCATTTAAGATTGTGATTGAAATACTTCTTTAAAACCTGCATACAATGAGTACTCTTCCTCCTGCATAATAGTACAGAGTTATAGTCAATATAATATATAATGGGATGAATTTGCCTTAGATTTTTTTGTGCTGCAACTACTCTCAGGAAATCTTGAGCAATGCACTAAGTGATTATACAGAATATATAAAATGGGAAAAAATTGTTTGGTGCTGTTGGGCGATTGACACTCTTCATGCAAGTGTAAGGCCAGTAGTTTCAAAATAAGACATTTTCTAGAATAGTTGATGGTTAAAAAAGCTATAGTGAGATAAAAACAGGGAAATGGTGATGACAGTAAACTACTGGCCTTACTGGAACCAGTCCTACTGGAATGGCAGTGTGACAGTTGGTCCCGTTCATGAAGGGTGTTGGTGCTCCCGGTCGGAGCGCTGTGAATGAATGAGGGTTAACTGATGCCAGCTGTGAAGTGTGTGTTTCTATGTGAGCTGTTTGTTTTCTTGGCTTCGGTGAAGGGACATGGGGTCTGGTCTGTGTAGAGACCCGCTATCAGGGATACATTTTTGTCTTTCAGTTTTTAGTGGAACCTTCTCAGAGATATGAATTCATTTTCCCATCATTTGTTTCAGTTAATGTAAAGAAAATAAATAAACATATCCAAGCTTGATCTTTTCTGTGTTTCTGTTATTGGTTTATATCACAAACACAACCCTTTAAGAGCTTTAGTAAAGAGTTAAAGTAGTTCATTCGGTGCTTTAAGAGTTGTGACCAGGATGTGTGCTGAGTGGGAATTTTACATTTGACTTGTGCTCTCTGGTGGACAAACTATGAAATGGAGACACTGTTTTTAAAATGCTAAAAACAGTCTGTTGTGACATTTCTAGTTCCTCATTGACTGACACTGCACTGTAAATACTCAAACATATGTGATAAGCTAATAGTGTGCAATCATATCAGCCCAGTCAAGCTCCATGGGTGCCTTATCACCAATGACTCATGACTCCGCTTCGACTTGAGCCTTTGGACTTGAAAATACTTTACACCTTCTCCAAAGCCCAAATACTAAAATGTTTATTTAAAAAGTGTGCCACAAATCAGTATGATTTCCTTTCATTTGCCGAATCAGTAAACATTAACAGTTTTTATTCACAGCATGTCGACAATTAATTCGCCAGATCTACTTTGTTTAAACTGATCCAACAGCACTGAAGTTGCAGGAAAGAACCATGAAGAACTAACATTATGTTACTGAGCACAAGTTTGGATTTATGTACAAAAAAATATGTGGTGGACCACAAAAAAAATAAGTGCAGTATGCAAAATGTACAGGTTGAGACCTATAGACGGAGCTGCAACAACTTTCAACTTAGTACATTTTAAGTTGCATAAATACTGATAAGTCAAGGCTAACATAGTTAGCTAATGCTAAGCTAACATCAGCTTAACATCTAAATAGCTTTTTTTGACAAACCAGTTTTCAAAGCATCCATTTTTTGTGGCTTTATGGCATGGGACAATCTAAGCATGAAAGGGTTAGAGACCGAGTGGATGCAGCACAGGGCTGCAGGCTGGAATCAAGGCCATGGCCGCTGTGGCTCAGACATTGTCTTCGTATATGGGACACCTGCTCTTTCCAGTAAGCCACCTGGCACCCTTATTTTTGTACATTTAATATATTACTCCTTTGTTAAAATGCCATTACATTCGGTGAAGAGCACACTGTGACTTGTTTGGGACTCAAAACTCAAAGTTCAAGACTTTGGACTTGAATGCAAAGACTTGGAACTTCCAAAACAATGACTCGGTCCTACCTTTGCTATTTGCTATGTAAAGATACAGTGGAGTGATAGCATCCTGAGCAGAAGGAAGCTGCATTCCTTGTGAGTGTTGTAAGCTAAGCTTCTCTGTGGTTTGTTGTGGTAATGTTTGCATGTTTGTGTATGTGTGTAGCCCACTTGCTAGCTCATTGCTGCTGCTTTGCACTGTGCCCATACGACTCTTACCGCTGATATCAGGAGGGCGTTGTCATGGAAGCATAGCGCCCACCTCTGGTTTCACTGTGGTTAACACTAGCTATGTTTCCATCCAAAAGTTATTCGAATCATTGGGAAATGCGCATTAAAAGAAATACGAATCCTGTGTGTTTCTATTAAATGTATGGACTTTGGTGAAAACTACGAACTTGCGCGAGTTTTCCGCAGAACCGGAAACAAAACAAGTCTCGCATTCTTCTTCTTCTACGTTTTCTGGCGGTTGGCAACCAGCTTGTAAATGCATTACCGCCTTCCCGACCCGGAGTGTGAATATCACCATGGAGAGAGGTGCGCTACGTCATGACTTAATCCCCGTTTTGCAAATCAACATTTTTTTGAATTAACCAAAACCTGGCTAAAGCGAGCGTATTTTAGTTTGTGCGAATCAGGGGATTTTAATTCGAATTTTGGCGTTTCCATCATAATTTTCCGATGCGATAATGCTAGATGCGTATCTAAACAGGCTGATGGAAACATGGCTACTGTTAGCTCTGTCGGCCACCACCCAAGATGGCAGCTTAGATCACGGCCTCCTTCAACAGAATCTTAAAATGTCCTGTTAACCAGCAAATAAACCCCATTCAATATAGCAGGATAGCGATGGAAACAAGAGTAAAAAGTAAGAAAAATATTGTTAGGTGCAGAGCAACATGCTAATGGGAAAGATGGCAGACGGCAGAAAGCTAACAAAAAGGTGACTTTAGAGAGGACTCTACAGTAAATACAAGACTTCAGAAAAGAAACTGACTGCCAGCTGTTGGTTATTAAAGACAACCTCAACAAAACAAACCACAAATCGAGAAGGCAGAGGGCCGCATTGATGGAAACCAGGATACTAACTTGGGACAAGTCATGAGAAAACATGCTTAAAATCCAAACTTGGAATGAGGAAATGCTTTTGGACCAAGAGGGAAGATTGAGGAGAGAGAGTATCAGAATATGCAGCTCTGTCGGCACTGCTGCTGTTGTTTAGTGCTGTTTATGGAGTAAGCAATGTTAGCTGCTAGCCGCCGACTCAGCAACCTCCATGTTGAGAACCGTGTGCAGACAACTCGTACACTGAATTTCACACAGAGCTCCTTTAAACACATTATTAATTGTTCTCTAAGAGTCTCATTGTCTCTGAATGGAAAAAATCTGAACGAAATAGGCCTTTTCTCTGCAAACGTTTTGACACGTCACAGTTGGAAAAGCAAAAGTGTGAATCACACGGTTAGCTATGGCTAATTTAATTTCGCTGCTTCAGTTTCAGGGTCCTAATATCGCACACGCTGGCTCACTGTCACAGTTTACTGGTTTAATGGGACACTTTAATAGCACAGAGCCATCGTTAATGTCTTTAGTCACACCTGTGTTTTTAGGACAAGTTAAAATGCCTGCTGTTAAAAAGGCCAGGTGTCAAATGGGTCTCAGTCAAAGGCTATTTATAGACATTATCATCACATTAACAATCCATTTATAACCCTGTGAATCATGCACCATGTCCCCTGATTACAGCTCCTCTCAGTGACCCTGATACTCAACAATTAACTGCCAGTTTGTGTGTGCACGCGCGCGCACACCTGTGAAAGATCGGGCACCTGTCGGCAGCAGCACTGGCAGCTGAGGTAGGATGTGACGTAGATCTTTAATCCTCTTAGGTTAATTAAGCTGAACCAGCAGGCCCCGCAGTGCAGCTCCTGTAACAGCGGAGGTTTCTCGGATCGATCTGATCGTATGAGGAGTCAAACAGAGACTCCGAGAGGAAAAGGTTTGGACCATAAAACTATCTGAGGAGAGCTGGAGCCAGTGTGTGTCTCCTGCAGGATGCTGCCTCGGCGGATGCTGTGGGGCGCTGTGACGCGTCAGGTGACACCGCGGCTGACCTACAGCACTGCTGCACAGCCGCAGGTAGGCCTGCATGCACACTGCAACACACACTGCAAAATGTACACACTGCAAAAATATACACGCTGCAAAATATATAGTCATGCACTCTGCAGTAAAATGTAAAACTCAGCACACCGGCCTACCGTCCTACTTTCACATACAGTCATGCCAGAGATTTGACACGTTGCACCTGAGTTTCAGTCATAAGGAGATCATCCAGCAGCACTCCAGCACTTTGATTTTGGGTCAAATTACTTTCTCATTGTTCTATATGATATAAAAATATAAGGCACACGTTTTTATTGTCACTTATAGTAGACTACTAAAAACGTAGACCTATATTCAGTGATGTTTTGTGGACCTTTAAGATGTTTTCATAACATTGCAGAGCATGACAACTGTTACCACATTTTAAGTACTGTCAGTGTATTATTACATGGTTTCAACAGGCTGTGAGTCCCACAAGCTAAATTAATTTAGTGCTGTTCTCAAGATGTTTGTTTTATTGGGTCTGTTTGGATACTGTGATGTACCAGATGCTGTCACAAGGTGTTTTTAATTTCTTTAAACATACAGTGGTGATTAAAAAACATGCTTTTTCCCTGAAAGCATTAACGTTAATTTGCCCAAATGTAAAAAAATTCAAAGAAATCAGACCTACTAAGTCATATATGAATTAAAGCTCCTCATAGCTAAACTTTGAACCAAAATTTCCATGTCTTTGCACCAGTTAATTCATATTCCATAACTACTTATCCTGTTGGGGTTGCGGGGTCGCTGGAGCCTATCCCAGCTGACATAGGGCGAGAGGAGGTGGGGTACACCCTGGACAGGTCTACAGACTATCACAGGGCTGACACAGAGACAGACAACCATTCACATTCACATTCACACCTACAGACAATTTAGAGTCACCAGTTAACCTGCATGTCTTTGGACTGTGGGAGGAAGCCGGAGTACGTGGAGAAAACCCATGCTGACACGGGGAGAATTTGCAGACTCCACACAGAAGGAAGCCTCTTGCTGTGAGGCGACAGTGCAAACCACTGAAACACAGTGCCGCCATGTCTTTACATGTAAAGCAAAACATATGTGAGGCCTCATGTATTTTCAAATGGTTTGTATTCTAGCTGGTACTATTTTGTCAGGGTTGTAATAACATAAGCTATGTCTACATAGACATAATTAGTCGATTGACAGAAAATTAATTGCCAATTATTTGACAACTTGATGCTTTTCTTTGTCATAAATGATATTAAACTGGATATTTTGGGGCTTTCTGCTGCTGATCATACAAAAAAGATGTCACATTGGGTTGTGGAGATGTATAACAGGGCATATGTTATAGACAAAATGGTTAAATGATAATGAAAAATAATTGTAATAACAGCTCTATTTTTTGTGCATCCATCATGGAGGCTTCGGCAGTCACTTTTCTTTTATCTTCCTCTCTGTCACTAGGTGAAGCCAAAAAAGACCAAGTTTGGCCCTCTGAGTGACGAAGACCGGATATTCACCAACTTATATGGCCGGCATGACTGGAGGTAAGAAAAATAAAAATAAATGGTAAAACCATTTCTTCCAGTCTCTTATCATCTGAAACCCAGATGTTTATCTCTCTTCTTCTTCCTGTCAGACTCAAGGGCTCCCTCAAACGAGGAGACTGGTACAAGACTAAAGAGATCATCCTGAAGGGACCCGACTGGATCCTGAACGAGGTGAAAATCTCCGGGCTTCGAGGCAGAGGAGGAGCAGGCTTCCCCACTGGCATGAAGTGGAGCTTCATGAACAAACCCAGTGGTGGCAGGTGGGAACAAGAGACATTTGTCAGAGCCACTTTAGCATTACTGTCCACACCAGTAATGAGACTGTGGTGCTGCATCAGTGTATTGAGTGTGTCCTTCTTTCCCGTGTCCAAAGGCCAAAGTACCTGGTGGTGAACGCTGATGAGGGGGAGCCAGGGACATGTAAAGACCGTGAGATAATGCGTCACGACCCTCATAAACTAATAGAAGGCTGTCTGATCGCTGGGAGAGCCATGGGTGCTCGTGCTGCGTACATCTACATCAGAGGAGAGTTTTACAACGAGTCATCAAATCTTCAGGTATGCAGAGGCACAGATGGGTAAATCCTTACTCTGTAGAGGCTGTGTAACTCATATGTTGTGTTTGTACCCTTCAGGTGGCTATCAATGAGGCGTACAAAGCAAAGCTGATAGGGAAGAATGCCTGCGGATCTGGGTATGACTTTGATGTGTTTGTGATGCGGGGAGCCGGAGCCTACATCTGCGGGGAGGAGACAGCCCTCATCGAGTCTCTTGAAGGCAAACAAGGGAAGCCCAGGCTCAAACCGCCATTCCCTGCAGACATAGGTGAGGCGTACTGATCAGGCCCACAGGAAGTGCGTCGGACTTGGAAGCCAGTTTTCATAGAGGCCAAACAGTTCAATTGTGTCTGTCACTTGATGTCCTGTGGCCCAAAAGACTTTTTCTCTTTGACTTACATAGTGAAAGAGACATCTGTAAATCAGTGGATAAATTTTTTGAGCTTCACAACCCCTGTGAAATGACCCGTTTCAGTATTGGCATTTGATCCATTTGGTTCCATCACATTTTGAAAGTTTAGAAGAGCAGAATGATTGAATCATTTTATTCCTATTCAAGTTAGTGGACCGCTAAATTGGAAGTAGCCGGCTCTGCCAGTGGTAGTCTTTAGTTCAGGGGTGTCAAACTTGTTTTAGTTCAGGGGCCACATACAGCCCAATTTGATCTAATGTGGGCTGAACCAGTGAAATCACAGCGAAATAACCTGAAAATATCGACCTTTCAAATGTTTCCCTTTTTTAAGTGTTAAGACATACATTCTGAATATGTTCATCCACTGGAAAAGCCTCTGAGGCAGTATTTAAGCCCCTCCGTGTTAATAAAAATCTAAAGAGAGCTGCAGTACATATTTTAAATTCTTTCAAGAAAGAACTCAACAAGAATTTACACAGCTGTCCTTTTAAAACCAGCTAAACTACAGCTTGGCCCCATAATGAGTTTCCTTTTGTCAATATGACATCTTGCTGAGAAGGAATCTACAGTACATATAAATGGCATCAAAATAGCCCAATCTTTAATAACTATTCTCTTCTCACTCCCATTTTCATGTCTGGCCTGGAGTACAAAAGGTTTCCATACTATTGCAAACATTCTTCAAAGTCTTAGAATTGACCAAGCTCATCCTTTTTTCCGTATCTCCGAATGCGATGCTGAAGTGCATCAACATTAGGTATGTATAATCATCTAGTTGGTCGGATTTGACCCTTTGGCGGGCTGGTTCTGGCCCTCTGACCGTATGTTTGACACCCCTGCTTTAGTGCACCTACTCTATAACTCACACAGTGTGGAGCAGATTATCTGGATCATTTTATATGAACTTGAACTTTTTTGGCCTCATGCGCCACTTAGCAACTTTCATCGGAGTGGACAGTGCCCTGTCTCCATTGCTGTATCCAGTTCTCTTTATACATCCACATCTGATGGGCGGACTGATTTTTTTTACAGTATCGGTTCCTTTGAGTTGATACATAGAAATGTATTGAACCTGTCGAACCTTTCAAGTTTTGATACTCTGTGCGTAAAGCACAGCGTCAGTTTCTGTGACTTTATAGCACATGCATGTCCGATAGCTAGCGCTGCCCACCCCACAAAACTTCTCATCAATGCATCACCAGTCATCATTTTAGATTAATAAAAATAAAATATTCTTATTAATGCATTGATTCAGGATCCCATTTGTATGTAGGTAGTGCTATGTAAGCTCAATATGATGCTACAGAAATGTTGCTGACCAACATTCTGTCGCTGTTGTTTCCACATTACAACTTAAAGTTCACGAACACTCCGAAATTGGAAGAATGACCATCGATTGACCATTGACCATCAAGTGTGATAACAACGAGCTGGCAAGTGGGACACGTCAGGGATTCATGAGCACTCACATATTCATGTTCGACAGGCTGACCTAGTACATACTGGACACTAAAAAGAGTCATTCAAAAAGATTTGTTCGTTCATGTTTTGCTCATCACTAGTTTCCTGCTGGGGTTAATTGTGGTTTAGGAAATTGCAACATATGGTTATATTGTTAGCACAGTCCTGAAGTGATTGTTCACAGCTTCATCTCTCTCCTTTCAGGGGTGTTTGGATGCCCGACGACAGTTTCCAACGTGGAGACGGTTGCTGTGGCACCTGCGATCTGTCGTCGTGGCGGAGCTTGGTTCGCCAGCTTTGGGAGAGAGAGGAACTCTGGGACGAAGCTGTTCAACATCTCCGGTCACGTGAACACACCATGCACCGTGGAGGAGGAGATGTCTATTCCTCTGAGGGAGCTAATAGAGAGACACGCAGGTGTGTGTGTGTTTACACTCCCCCTTCTGTGTTGATGTTGGTTTACTTAACAAGATGCTGACATGACTTCCTCTGTCTTGTCGTGTGATTGGTGCAGGAGGAGTGAGGGGCGGCTGGGACAATCTATTAGGAGTGATCCCAGGGGGGTCCTCCACTCCCATCATCCCTCGGCACGTGTGTGATGATGTTTTGATGGATTTTGATGACCTGGTCCGTGCAGAGACGGCACTGGGAACTGCTGCTGTCATAGTTATGGATAAATCGGTAAATAATGTACATAACAAAATACACTTCACCATCAGTTTGGAAAGATATTCTGAGAATCGTGTGTTTCCCTCAGACTGATGTGATCCGAGCCATCGCACGCCTGGTTGAGTTCTACAAACATGAGAGCTGTGGCCAGTGCACCCCCTGCAGGGAAGGTGAGGAACTGCACAATACACTCAACACAATGAAGTCATCACGCAGTGAGTTTATCTGACACAACACTGTCTCTGTTCAACTCTACTTTTGCTGTGGCTCGCTTTAGTAGGCTAGAATAATCACATGCACATCCAGAAAACCTCGGTGAGATAGGTAATGAAAAGTCATCATGAATATAATGGTATTAGTACCTGCAAGCTAAAATCAGAGCTCCCCTAAGCGTTTTCTACCCACTACAGGTTAAAAGTATACAAAGTTCACAGTTTGGTATGTTATCGATACAACAGGGAAGCCAAACAAGCAAAAAAAAAAAAAAAAAAAAGAAGTTTATTTATGATGAAAAATGTAACTTAATTCAACACTGGCACATGGGCCATAATTGTTCCTGTTACAGTTAAAGGGTAACTTTGGCATATTCCAACCTGGACCCCCACTGTCCCATGTTTTTGTGCCGAAGTGACGAATGGGTACAGTTTTTGAATTTTGTCCAGTATTGTGTGAGATAAATGCAGACAGCAGAGGCTAAACCAGGGGTGGGCAGCTCTGGAGCCATAAGTAGCTCTTTAACTCCTCTCCAGTGGCTCCATGTGGCTTTAAAAATATCAAATCATATGGAAGTGAATATTGTTTTTTTACATTTTGATTTTTATTTATCATTGTAGGCCTTACGAAATTCATACTTTCTCTAACTGTAAAAATGTGTAGTCTATACACAGAATTAAAGAAAAAAGGCACCTTCTCCTCTAAATGTTGCAAGGTTTCATCTAAATGAACCTCAGTGGTGGCAGCTAGTCTTGAATCTCCCTTGCGAGGCTAGCTCTGGACTCCAAACCCAAAAATGCAACAGTCTCAGAGGAAAATGGAGACAGATTAATTTGCTTTCACCACCAACTATTACCAAATGTTCATAAACTGCCCTGCACTGACTAACCACCTTGTGCTAAACCATATTAATCAATGCTCATTAAGACCTTTTAGTAATGTTGATAGGCTATTGTAGACGCAATAGTCTGTGTTACCTTCACAAAAAGACTCAAATATGTTTTGTGGCTCCAGACATTTTTTTTTTATTTATTTATTTTATTTCTTGGTGCTAAAATAGCTCTTTTGATAGTAAAGGTTGCTGACCATTGGGCTAAACCAACTGCAATTCAGGCAACAGAGCACCATCAATTTACGTCCACTAAAAGTGTTTGCTTTTGCCACTGACAGGCTCAGATTACTATAGGTCTCTCACAACATTACGGGAAAGGATCCCTACAGGGATAGACCTTATTGTTAAAAAGTAAGATACTTTTTGTTTAACCAGAAACAGCCCCAAAATCGGCATCACCAAACCCACCAAAAAGAAGTTATTTACATGTATACAGAGGCAGCCTATGACATGACATATGACATATGACATATCTTTACATTTGTGAGTTTTATTTTGCTTCTGTCTACTTTAAATTAAGTTGAATTGACTCTGGTGGGTTTAGAAAATAGCAATTTCATGTCCGGTTAAACAAAAGGATTCTTTCACATTAACACAAAGGTCTATCTCTGTAGGAATCCTTTCTATAATGTTATAAGACATTTCAAATATCAATCTGAGCCTGTCAGTGGCAAAAAACAAACACTTTTAGTAGACACAGGGATTACATTGCGGCATGTTTTGCTGCTGCTGGCTACTGTCCTCTTGCTCAATACTAGACCACTTTTGTCTCCACCAGTCACTTGGGCACAGAAACATGGTTAAACAGGAAAATATCTAGGTTACCCTTTGCCACAAGGGATGTAACTGCAGCATGATTCTGTGGACGTTTGTATCGTGGTTTCAGTTTCACTTTCAGAACCGTTCCGCCCTTACTACTCACGTATTACCTCTGTGGCGGTGAAGCACTGAGATCTTAGGTAGAAGAAGAGATAAGAAGAGATATGTAGGTAGAAGAAACACTACTGTAATGTAAAAATACTCTGTTACATGTAAAAACCCAGCATTCAAAATATAACAAGAAAAAATGAGTTGGTATAAAAAACTAAATGCACTTAAATACCAAAAGAAAAGTGCTCATTTATTCTCTTCATGTGGCTGTTTATCAGAGGACCTGTGCTAGGTCATAATATTGTTATAAGTTCATGGTGCTTTCATTTCAGTGAGTACTTATGACTTGTTGTCATTATCTTCCCTGTCTGCGTCCCCTCCCTAAGGAGTCGACTGGATGGACAAAATGATGTGGAGGTTTGTTCGAGGAGAAGCAGCAGCTTCAGAGATCGACATGATCTGGGAGCTGAGCAAACAGATAGAGGGACACACCATCTGTGCCCTGGGAGACGGAGCTGCCTGGCCTGTGCAGGTGACTGTTTTTTAGACCCTATGAATACAGGAAGCTGAGAATGAAACATAGACTGTGGTTACTAAGTTAAAACAAGTGCTAATTTACATTTTAACAAGCCTCTTTATCCTCCTTCATCTTTCACTGTTCATCTACAGGGACTGATCCGCCACTTCAGGCCCGTCATGGAGAGCCGCATCGCTCAGTATAACAAGAAAAACCCTCCGAGAGAGCCGGTGATTGAGATGATCTGAAACTGTGCAGGGGTCCATTTCAACAGCAACACTAGCTCATTGTACTGTACGGCATTGTGTATACTATTTTTTAATATAGTTTTTAGATATCAAAGTAATTCTGTACTATTTAAGAATTCACACTGCAAGTTCTTCTGCTTAAAATTAAAATTTCTCCCAACTTTAAAAACTATGATCATTGCCAATCCCTCATAGGCGACATGTTCTTTCAAGGGTTTTCATGAGAGGGTAAGTGGTTTATTTTTGTCATGTTATTCTGCAGCAAGTTGGTCACTTAAACCAGTATGTATTTTGGCAGGCAGAGCTGTGGACAGATGTGACCGACTCCGTCTCTGAACAGACTTTGAGGAAAAAACATCTAATGAAGAATCACAAAGCTCAAAACACAGCAATAAATTAAGTTTATTTATTTCATAAAAGCATGAAATAAATTCAATAGGTTTACTACATATTAGTCCAACATGATCTGTACAAAAAGACCAGAATAGGAAAGAATGACGTCACAGACTCAGACGGGGAGAAAGGAAAGCAAAGGAGGTGACAGAGTACAGAAAGCTGTACTTGGGATAAAATGAAAAGTGGTCGGTGATGTGCAACATCATTGCCTTATGAGATTGTTTTATATTCAAACACTTCACCTGGCGTCGGTGGTCAAACCAATCCACATAAACCTGAAGGCAGAAATCGCTCATCTGACCAGCTATACATCCACAAAATAGTTTGGAGTATCAGTCCTGCAAATGTTCATCTTCAAACTATAATGTGTGCACCAAAAGAAACAAACAGTAGTTTTCCAAAACATAAGCACGTCCATTTGGACCCAAAGTACTAAAATAATGTTGCTGTTAAGAGTCATCCGTGTGATGAATGCATGGTGGAAAAAGACAGGCTCAGTTTGGGTGGATATCCGGTAAGACTCGGGACAAAGCACTGAGGGAGTTCAGATCTTTCCTGTTTTAAGGTGCCATCCAGAATGGCATAGACTGCTGCTGTGGCTGTGTTTTAGCACGAGGGGGTGGTGGAGGGGGGCAGCGATAGCCCTGTGTCCAGCCTAAGGAGGCGGAGGTGGGGGGGACTGCTCCAGGGTTACCTGGCCCTGAGGCTTTGGAGGTTGAGTGGTCTTCCTCTTCATCAGAGGAGTCGCCAGTGTACGCCACCAAGCCAGTTTTCAATCTCTTCACTGAGGGTTCTGAGAGATGAAGAGGGGAAGCAGAAGGAAAGAGAGAGGAAGCACATTTGGAGGGGAGGAGAGAGAAATAAGGGGAGGGGGAAAACACACAAAACCCAACAGCGACAACATGTTTCACATGAGACAGGTTCAAGTTAATTATTCCAAACACATTTTGGGAGAAACAAATAGTTAATAGATTTAAATTATAGTTTGTCAGCAGAGTAGAGAAGAGGGGGGGCAGCCATTGGAAAGCACCCATTGGTTGGTGGGGAGCGACAGCGTTAGGGGCCGTCCAATCGAGCGGCAGGACAGCGTCACAGGACGAGTCGTGCCCCACCCCCAATCAGAATCCAGAATCGCCCCAGAGATACATGGAAGAGAAGAAAAACACAGAGAAAAAGAGAAAAACACAAAAACAGGAGAGATTCTCGTTAGTGAGGAAAGCAGACAAACTGCAGACAACCCCAGACTGATGATGTCATCAGAACGGGACGGTAAGGTCGACTCGATTTATCAGACTTCTTTACAAAAGGACTGAACAATACAACAAAAGACGTCAGGTCATGAGTCATAGCTCCGCCTCACTATCAGGAGATTTCTAGTGACAGCGGCAGAATCCTGCAAGAATCGTAAGAAGCAGAAGGCCCAGTTGAGTGTTCGTCTAATCTGCCACAGAACTTCATTATTCAAATCCAGGAAGCTTTTTGGGCCGACTATGTGTCTTGATACATCTGCTTGGGGCTTTATGTAACTTAAGTAAAACCACTGAAATGTAGACACAGTCCAGTGGCCTGCGTGAGGATTTACATTTTACTCTCTGCAGCTCTACATTAAGGCTGTGAACAGATCCAGGCTGAGCCTATAAAGGGTGCAGTCCACACTCAGGCACTGTGGATTTGGATTTGGGCAGGGATTTTGTCAGTCCACAGGATAATGCCCTTACCCACGGAGCATTGCGGTGCCCTTCTCTCCTCCATCCTGGGTCTCACTCCATTCACAGGCAGCAGCGGTGGAGGCATTAGCTGCCGACTGGAGAGCACAAAGAGAAATGGTGAATTAACTACACCTAATCATCCTTACACACTATTAATATTTGACTAAAGGGGACCTATTATGCATTTCCATATTTTCTGTCATATACATATTATGTTCCAGTGTCAGATGTTAATGTCAAATGTGGCCAATGAATGTAAGTATGCAAAAGTAATCGCTGTGAGCAAAAACCTCATGCTTCAGACTGTTTTGAATACTCTGTTTCAAGTTTTCTTTTGAATTTAGAGGCAAGCTGACATCAGCTCTTGATGGATTTCTTTAGATGGCCATCTGCTCCAGGCTCGCTGCTCCAAGTGTTAACATTGCATACACTGCTACATGTAGCTACATGCTAACATCAGAGAAACGTCATCTTGGTTGCTGATGTCAACATTTGGTTTAGAAGCTTTCCTGGTGATTTTTCATGGTAGAAGTGCTGCTATACTATGTTACAGTCATTCCCAGGTTGCAAGTACACTGCTACATGTAGCTACACGCTAACATCGGGGAAACTTGTCATCTTGGTTGCTGTTAATTTCTCTCAGAAGTCGGATCATATGCCTGCTGAACATGTCCATGTGTGTTTGGAAGTTTTTATTTGGTGATTTTTCACAGCAGAGAGTGCCACTATACTCTGTTAGAGTCATTTCCTAGCTTCAAGTAGACTGCTACATGTAGCTACATGCTAACAGTATGGTTGGTTGCTGATATTGTCAATTTTTCCCAGATTTTGGATTGTATTCCTTCTGGAACATGTCTGGTTGTGAAGATTTGGTCTCAAAGCTTTTGTTGGTAATTTTTCATGGTAGACAGTGCTGCTATACACTGTTACAGTCATTCCCTGGCTGCAAGTACACTGCTACATGTAGCTACATGCTAACGTCAGGGAAACAAGTAATCTTGGCTGCCAATGTTCTTAATTTCTCTCAGATTTCAGATCATATTCCTGCTGGAACATGTCTGGTTGTGAAGATATTAATTGTGTTTTTATGGTACAAAGTGCTATCATGCTGAGGTAATGGTGCAGAGATGATGCAGAGGCAGACATGATCAGACACCTTTCTTTGCCAGTACGATTCCTGAGCATGCATATTGGTCAATACCGAGAGCTGATCTGCATCACTAAAAAAAATTAATAGCTGTGCACTACTAACTGCATGAATGTGAAATGCTTGCTATAATTGTTGTGTGGCGTGGCTCAGGTTAAACCCTTTGAAAGTCAATTACATAAAGGACATGGGTGTGAAACTACTTTAAAGTTTATCGGATTGGTGCATAGACTTGTGTGCTCGCCAATACTACAGCATTTTATCAAAGGCATTTCCAATACTGATATCAAAGGAACTCTATGCAAAAGGCCAATAAATGCTGACCAAAAGGAGCAGGCAGGCTTTTTCGGGAGACAAATGTTAAGCGGAAGGCACTAAAACTAAGCGTTTCAGACAGAGGGTGGATACAGGAGTTTCAGCACGAGCAGTATGAGGAAAATAAGTTGCTTTTTGAACTTTAAAGCATATAAACATGTTCTGACAGAAACCTCAAATACAAGTATGAACCTGAAAATAAGCATAATAGGTCCCCTTCAATAAAATGTGAGCCAATTACAAAACTCTGTGTACCTGTCCCTCTCACTCGGTGGGCCGGAGGAACTCTGTGGAGCAGGTCCTGTAGTCTCCGGGTTGCCAACGGGGAAGCCTGCACCTAAATTAGTCATATGAATGGGTCCATGCTATGAGCAGAAAAACACACAGGCGCGATTAGCAGACATCCTCTACTAAACCCTGTCCTGACACGCTAACATGACTAATAACTAGATCAACATCAAAGTAAAAAAAAAATCTGTCTTTGTCAATAGCTTACCATAAGTCTGATTACTCTAACATTTTCTCCAGGCACTAAGAAAGATACTTAAAGCTTATCCGGATTAATGATACCTGTTTCTGAAACTCCTTATTACCAGTAGAAAGATAAGGTAATGTGCAGGTGAACAACAGGAAGCAGCAAGCCATGCCATCTCAACCAGTGTATGTGAAACGTTTGAAGGAAGGATATGATGGTAGATAAATCACAAACAGTGACGTTATTAGAACAGCTTATGACACAGATTGAACATGACTGGCTGATGAAACTAAGTGACTGACACACACACATACACACACACTCACACACACTGCACTCAGGTAAAAGCGTAGGCATGAACAACAAATGGCAAAAAAACAAACGGGCCACAAGGGTGAAAAATAAAAGCCAGCAGACTGATGAAGCGCTGTTAATGTTTAGGAGCTGTTTATCACCTGGTATCCAAGCAGTCCGCTGTTCCTCTCGTCTGGGACCTCCTCTGTAAAGCGTCTCTTCTGTGGTGGGTTGGTTGGAGCAGCGGGAGGCGGAGCTTTGGGTGGCACTGCGGCTGATGGAGGAAAAGGTACAGGAGGAAGAGTCTGCAGGGAACAAGAAACATATCATAAGTATTACTGCTCTGCATGCTATACACGTGTGCTTTTGATGGCTCAGTCCTACCTGTGGTGGCATGGTGCCTGAAGCAGGAGCTGGAGCAGGTGCAGGGGCAGGAGCTGGCGCTGGAGCGAGGGTGTGGGTGGGAGCAGGCGCAGGAGCAGGTGCGGGGACAGGGGCAGGGGGGAGGGAGTACTGAGGAGGCACACCTGCAGGTGCTGCAGGATGTATAGGAGGTGGGACAGTGTAAGGTAGAGAGACAGGTTGTGGCTGAGGTGGCGGTACAGGCATGGCGTAGCCTGGCTGGTATCCAGCGGGAGGGTAGTAAGGAGGCTGCGGAGGCATCCCGTTCACCACTGGAGGCTGCGCAAAGCCTGGAGGAGGAATGGGAACAATCAAATCAGTCTTTTCCAGTGTCTTCTAGTGCAATTCTAACTGATCGCTAATGGTAAAAAAAAACAGTGTATTGCCAGATCAAGTGCGATAATATTGTACCTTGTTGCGTTGGCATCATTGAGCTCATTTGATTGAGGAAGCGAGAATATTCTGCATGGACCTAGAGAGAGAGAAACATTGTACGTAAGGCTTGTTAGTGGTTCACAAAACTAAAATATGAAAATCATAGTCAGACTACAGTAAAAACGTGACATAATATCACTGTGTTATGGAAGAAATGTTGTATAAACCTACAATTAGAAGTAATAAGTTCCACTACAAATGATTTAAAGAAGGAAACACACTCTGAGCTTCTACCTTTGTGATGCATTTTCTGCAGGAAGCTGTGGCTGAAGATAAAACCACTCAAACTTGTGGTGTAGAACAGACAGAATACTTACTCAGCTATCTACTGTTTTGTAACTGATGCATGCTAATAGCTTTTTATCTCAATGGCACATCTGTACAAGCTCAGATCTGACACCATTTAAACCACAGGCAAATGCATGTTATGTTTTTTGTGTGCTATTACTTTCTAAATCATAATTATTGATGGCTTCAGATTTGATTAGTCAAGAATTTAGTGTACCAAAGCAGATGTACACTCCTGGTACATTTGCTTTGATTTGCGTGGGTGTTTTCGACAGCTGGACTTGTGACAGATTTCTCAGCAGCAGTAATGACTGCGCCCTGCACTGCCAGCAGCTGTGGTCAGTGATCCAGCTCTCCCTCCAACCAGTTAGTAATGGTAGTACATGACAACAAGTCAAACAGTTGGAGACGTATAAGCTTATAATCAATGTCAATTGTAGCAGAATGGAAAAGCAAAGACCTGGACAGAGTCTTGTGGTTTAACATTTTGCAACAGGAAATTACTCACCGTCTGAAGCAGATTCTCACACAAGGTTTTTGCTGCTGCAAGTCCTTCTGGTTTAGGATGACTGGGGAGAGAACAGGCTGCATTTAGTTCTACTGAGCACACAGAAAAAAAAACTGTGGCTAGTTTATTGCACAAGCAGGAATCATCTCTGAGAATCAGAGTCTGTCTTAATTCACAGGACAACACCCACCTGATGTAAATGTACATAGGTTCGAAGGCCTCTCGTCCGGAGGCGGGCTCTAAACAACCTGATCCTTTTCCTCGTAGGAAGACTTTTGCTCCAGTCTCAGCCTGGATGTGCTGCAGGTACGAACAGCCGGGGCCCTCGACCCGCTCTTTGACCACAAACCCGGGGATAGCGTGCTCCAGGCCCACAAAGATTTTATCTTGAACATAATGCATCTACGAAATGACGGACAAGTAGGTAATTACAAACATCATCTTAGCTCATTAGATGTAAAAAAGACACAGGTAAACAGTCGTACCCCGGACTGAAAGTGAGGTTTGTGGTGGGTGATCGGGGGCAGTGAGGGAGGAGGTGGGTTGTGTTGCTGGTAAACTGTGACTGGAGCCCCACTAGGGGTGAAGGGTGAAGAGGACGACGAGGCAGTTGCAGCCTTCACCACACCGTTGGTGATGATCTCCTTGATTCTGTTAACTGCCCCTGGAGAACGAGGGAAAGAAACCATCAGTCTAATCACATGATATATAAAGATATTAATCACAGCTGACTGGAGGTAAGTCTGAAATGGTACTGACTGTCGACAAGCTCTCTAGTCTGTCCTTGGACGTGCAGATACAGAGGTCGATCGCTGCATGGAAGGAACAAAAAGGTTGTGTTAATATTAAATAAATAACCATCAAGTTTTTATGATCTGTATCTGAAAGTGAGAGGTGAGAGAAGTCACCCTGGGAGCGCTTTGCCCTTCTCCTCTGCTGTCATGTAACGACCTCTGGTTGAAACAGCAGCACCGCTCACTTTACTGATCTGCAGACAAACCATGTGAGGTAGAAACATGTCAATAAAGACTCCACAAGGCTAGTGATGAACTTCATTCTGTGAGATATGATTGTCCGTATTATTTACTGACCTCATCCTGCGTTTGTCCACGTGTCAGCAGATTCCGACAGGTGATTGGGACATCGTTGATCTCCACCTCAGCTACGACCAGGTCATCCTTGGCCTTCGTTGATACAGGAGGCTTCCCAATACCTACAGCCTGAGAGAGGAGGGGAGGCAAGAGATGAATGTGACCACTGTCCATAAATCAGAGCAAAGACTATACTATCATTTAGTGTTTAACACTGTGATACTGGTAAAAAAATATTTAAAGAAAACTCATTGAGGCAGCAAGCTTGGGGTGAACTGACTCAATATGTGACTGGAATATACCATCTTTTATGAATGAAGAGAAAGGGAGTGCTTGCAAACACAAAGAATTTGTAACAAACAACTTAGTGTTCTGCAAAATAATGATGGCTCTTGGAAACATTAAATGTTAACAGAGAAAGATACTGGAACATCTTTGTTATGAGCATTACTCTGCACTTACTGGAAATGTTTTTTTGATTATCACTACAAAAAATGATATTAGATTTATCCTAGACTGTAATTATGAATACTTAAAAGGGATAGTTCTGTATGATGTACTGCTGTGGATGGGGGCAGCAGCAACTTGTATTTAGCTACCAAAAAAAATCACCAACAGCTTAAGAGTTCACTATATTGAGAGTGTTTTCATCACTTTACCTTTCTGTCAGGCAGCCCATTCCGTTAATGGTTCCCCTATGTTCTATGTTCTCGTCAAAGTCACCAGACTCCACTGACAAAAACTGTAATTTTAGCAGTAGCTGCTGGTCTACCACTGCCTCAATCTCTTAGTTAGTTTATGTTATTGTGTGACTTTTTGAAACGCCAGAGTCACTCAATAAATCAAACAAAATAAGTGATTGGGGCTGCGGTATGCAGGCCGCTCATGTGTTCAGCGATGTTAAATGTTAAAAGAAATGGTTTTTCTCAATGGAGTCTGGTTTTCGGAGAGTGATGTGGTGTAATTCACTGTCTGATATTATGGTACAGCAGTGAAAATATTCTGGTGGGACTTCTTTTGGGTGGCTAAAATACATTTAGCTGCTGACCCCTCCACAGCAGCACACTGATTCGTCTCTCTGTCAGACTCCGGTCTGCTTCTTCAAACTGGGGTTGTGCTGTCTGATGTCCACAGTATGTAATATACTGACTATGGGTAAATACCTCATACAACCCTACTTACCACAGTCTGCGCTATCCCTTTAAAGCAAACAAGCCATTTCAGTTTGTTACCCTATTGTCATACAAACAGTGTGATAAACATCAACTAGGCAATTCAGCACATCATTTTGTACAACCGCACTGATGTTGTGACACATATCACGATGAGAAAAGGACGCTGTAGTTTCCATCATGTCGGTTTCATAGATCTTTATACAGAACAAAGATTTAGCTACAGTTAGGGTTGGCAAAGTAGATCAAATTGATTTGCAGCATTGGCCACACAGGCCTAGTTCAATCAGAGAGGTTAAATGGATTGCTACCATGGTATTACAATAGGGATGCACAATAATATCGGAATGTCTTCAGTATCATCAACATGCTTCTTCTTAATTTGCACAATAAATTAATATTATATACATTGAAACGTGCGGTATTTCATGACTCTATCTACTGCAGGGCCATCGTGATAACAGTATGCATGCATAATATGATGATCAATAAAATTATGTAGGGGAATAAATTGGCTATATTGGAGTTGTTACATATCAGAATATTGGATACCCCTATATTAAAAGTATAGAGGATAATCTCACACTGCAGTCTATATCAACATATCCCAACTTTACTAACATGCTATGATGGTCCTGCATCAGAGCTGATGAGGTTTAAAAGGATGACTTCCTTAGAAAGTAACTAGGCATATAATATGCTCCTTATTACCTTATCAGGTGGTCCCGGAGTGCCTATCTGAGAGGGTTTAAGTTTGCCTTTAGCTACCAGCATAGCATTAATCTTGGCAGCCACAGCAGCTGCAGCATCCAGAGCCCCGGTGGGTGCAGCCTCAGCCTCCCCCATCCCACCGGAGCCTGGGCCCGGGCCGGGCTGGTCCCATTTGCTGCGGCGGCTGGGAGGAGGAAAGAAAGCAGAGAAACACAGAAAGAATTAGGAAAATAAAGGGGAACTGAGTTAAACTTTTATTTCGCTAGTATAACCTGAGTCAATCTACGTCAAGACACCTGCTGTTAACTGTTATTACTGGTGTTTGGGAAATTAAACAAGAAGTGAGACTTTTCCCTTTATGATTTTGACTTCCGGTGATCATTCATGTACAATTCATGTGGGTAAACCCAAATCCATCACTCTAACAGATCTTACAGTGTTAGCTTATAACACTTAATTACATGATAACTGCATTAGGCAGAGCCGAGCAGTTCGACAACACTCCGCCATGATTGCAGACTGGCTACCGTTGGTTAGCATAGCCGGCTAACAGAAGGCAGCTGGGCGGCGGGACAAACACCAAATTAATGTATAAAACAGCCCGTTTTCACACACTCACCCGCCGTTTTGTGTTCCACAAAATGACATCAATATCTTGTCAAACGAAAAATGTCCTCTCAGTGTTAAAGTAAACGTGAAAACCCTCCCTCGGCTTCTGCACAGCAGACTATGCTGTATGCTAGCTGCTAGCCGCTGCTACTGTACGGACCTGACTGTTTCCGCCTCCGGTTAATGTTGCTTCCTGACGGTTACACCACAAGGCGGCGCCAGATACTAGGGCAAATATATCATGGGCATCAAAAAGGGTCAGGTGTGGTGCTGCTGCCTCACCTGTCCCCACCTTTCATCACTTCCGTGCCACCCTTGGCGAGTTTCTTTAGAGGAGGCATCAAAGTTTCCAGTGGAGGAAGGAACCTTGAGCTGCAGGACATGCTACACGACAGGCAAAGGTAGGTGAGCAGAGTTACCTTCTTCTTAAAATGACTTGTAAAATGGAAGAAATCATGTCTTAATTAAGTTTTAAAACACGTGTCAGGACTTTGTTTGTGTCGCCTGTTTGTCCTGTAGTGTTGGACAGAGGGGTTTTGCTGTGAATGCAAACAAATGCAAGCTAGCATTTAGCTAAACTGACTTTAATGTTGAATGCATGATGCCCTGCCATTTTAAAGTTTTGAACTTAATATAAGCAAAGTTTTTATGTCATACAAACATTATACAAGTCTCTTTCAAAGGCTAACTGTAATGTCTTCTCAACCCTGTTCATAGAGTCGTCACATAGCATGTTGACTGACAGGAAGACAGGTGTATTTATTGCAGCACATTAGCATAGTTACAACACAACAGCTTAAAGACAAGCAACTACAACTGGGCCAAAATGACGAATTCTAGTAGAGGTTATTAATTCAATGGCGTGTTTGTAGCATTTTAATGTGACTTGCTGCCTCAGATTGTCTTTTAAACAGTTAGAAACATAGTCACCTCTTTTGCAAACCTCGTAACCTCTCAACCTGACCTTGGTCGAAGGTTGTCTGAGCTGTAGGCTTGCATTATTCTCTGCGATGACAGCCAGGCCCTAAAGGCCCCAGCATCCAGCATCCTGTGCAGACACAGGCCACAGCATCATGCCCACCGGCTCCCAGGCTGTTCTGATGTTCTGGGTTACACAGAGTCACCGTGTACTCAGGTACAGGTGTTCAGTTACTGACCACCCAGGAGCTCAGAGACATGGCCAGGTGGTGCAGGTTACTGTGGAAGGTGAGCACGCTGCGTGGGGGCGACATGGATCAATAGATTGAACAACCAGCACTCCTAGTTGGATTTCTTTTGTCCTGTGTCGTGGGGTGTTGACAACGGTCTGCAAAACGTTTGATTAGGATCGAGGTGTGTCATGTGTACGTAAGAGGAAATGGCTTGTTTTAAAAGGCTCGGTGTTCGTTTTCAATCACAACACAGGCTTTGTTCATGCTCATCTATTAGGACTGGAGTTGTTTTGCTTGTCTTTCTTATTCAGGAGTGGAAGTGATGGATTATTTTCAGTCCTTGTACATGAATTAACATGGCTTTTGTGAAATAATAAATTTCACAGTTGGCTTTTTTTTTAATTGAAGTAGTTGACTTAAAAAATTTGACCTAACAACTGCGGAGACATTTTCGGTAAATAGTCTGCAAGTTTAAAGTGGTATCAACTTTCCTTTTCATACCTTAATTTGTGATTTTACATATTTACCTTTGACTTGAAAAGAAAACCAAATAAAACATCTAAAGTGAGTTCAAGTAATGGGCAGTAGTGCAGGATTCCTTGGTTCTCTTCAAGTCACAAGTTCTCGATCCCACGCACCTTACAGTAAGACTTTAAGGGGTGCAAGAAATTATTCCCCTTACAAATCATGTGGATTTAACTCTCTCTTTCTAGCATTTAACTCCCTTTATTTTCATTAAAGTAGATTTTATGAACAAAGTATTGATAACGTTAGATATGATAAATTAAGATAGAATAAGATAGCTTATCTCATCTTATATTATCTTATACTTAACCCTACATCAGAGAAATTCACACGTTACAGCAGCTCAGGAGTCCGAAGCACGAGGAAAAAGGAAAGATAAGTGACTGAGTGCTAAATAAGGGAAAAATATGACAAAAATAGAAATTAGATGAAATAAAAAACAAGATAATAAAAAAATCTATACAATATATACACCTTTTACTTATACAGATACTGTTTGTCCATGGTTGATAGTTGGACAGGGTAACTGTAATAGACACACAGTGTGTTATTTTTTACTGTAAAAATATAGTAATATATAAATATTATTGCACATTAGGTGGCTACATATTGCACAGGAATGTTACACTGTATAAATGTAAAGGATATAAATAAGTATATGTACATGTATATGTATATGAGCGGATATAATTGTATGACATATAGGCTATTATATATAAGAATAATTACACAGTATAAGTTTGTGTATGTGTTGTGTGTGTATATAACAAAAACAATATAATATGCAGATATTACATACAGCACATATCCACCATATGCACATAGTAATAATTTAATAGTATACTATGTATAATATATAATAATAATGTTACCATATAGCAGTTGAGTAGGACTTTTCATTACGTTTTCCATCACTGATCAAATTAAACATTCTGAACTCTTGAAGCAAGGGCGGATGAGATTTTGGCAAAAATTGTTTGTATATATTTGAATTGGCCTCAAACCTTTGGACATAAAATAGCTCAGTATTCATAGTGGAGTTAAATCATATTTCCTTTCAGATTATTTTCTCTTTACTGGGTGAACAGCACAGAACAGGTGCTGAGCCCTCAGGACAGGAGGTGTCCTCCCCTCTGGGGACTCTGTCACTGGGATGGGTCAGTTACTGAGCCACCCGAGCTGGAAGTTCAGCCGGTGCAAAGACAGACAAGAGTAAGAACATGTTGTGTAGTCGGGAACACGTGCAGCCATTTTAGAGCTGTTAACTTGCAGCTGCTAATAAAATCCTCAAGTACACAGGATTATATTTGTACCATGACAATAGTGGCCCAACGACTAACTTTGTACATACATCAGGGCGGTATAGTCACATACAGGACTGTGACTTTTTATGATTTTTTTATATTATACTATAATATTTTAAATAACTTTTTAAATGGCATACAGTACTGTGACTTTTCTATGATTTTGAGCATATTTGAATTGTAGGAGGGGACGTGGCCCCCTTTCATAAATATTATAATTACTGCCTAGACATACATGATGAATGCTTAGTCTAAAACAAGTCTACACAGAGTTGTCTTGAAGTAGCCATCTGGATAAATGGAGAAAACTCTGAAACAGAGTGTGTTACAGTTTGGACCCACTCCACATTAATGCCACTGGAGAAAGAAATGACACTCTGTAGACATGGAATAGTAATTTACACCAGGATGGAGGTATTCATTACATTTCAGTTATTTCAGCTATGATGGTGCTACACACCAATAACAGGAAAGAGAATCGCCAAGATTGCCACTCGGGAACACACATGGCACAGTTGTCAGAATATAATCATGAGCCGGACAATGGATAGAACTATTGCATAAAGACACGTCTGTGGGCTCTGTAGGCACCGTCCTCCTTCTGTCTTTGGTTACTTGGCATTTTTATAAGACTGAGTAATAGAGTATGTTTTGAAAATGCTTTGCTTTCTCATCAGTGTGGAGTTGTGAGGAACAGAAAAGCAGATGTGATGCACTGTACGTCTGAAGTGGAGTCTGCTGAACAGGGCGAGTAACGATGGTTGGTTCCAACTCTGAAGTTTTGTTCTCATGTTTCACCTGCAGGCGGCGCTCTAATTCTAAACACCATACCGTCCACTCTTCAGCCTTCACTCTCAGATAAGGAAGTGATAGTGATGTTACAGCTGTTGTTGGACTAAACCAGTTTGTTCTTAAGGTCATACTTCAGTAAATAGAGCTTAAATTTTATTTGACACTACTGAATGAAATCATTTTTGGCTGCCATTCCTTTGAAATGCACATTTCACAGCAACTAGGTAGTCCTTTGGAAAACCATGACATGATAGGGCTGCAGCGAACAGTTATTTTTTATTATTAATTAATCTGCAGATTATTTTCTTGATGTTTCGAATAATTGCTTAGTTTAAAAAGTTTCATAAAACAGTGAAAAATGCACATTAGCACCTCCTAATGTCCAAGCTCATGTGTTCAAATGCCTTTTTTTTTTTCTAATCAAAAGTCCAGATCCCCAAAATATTGAGTTTCTGATCACACAAGACTCAAACAAGCAGCAAATCTTTATATTTGAGGAGCTGGAAGTAGGTTATGTTTGGTATTTTTGCTTGAAAAGTTCTTATGTGAATAGTTATAGATTGATTTTCTACAGATTAATTAATAGACTTATCGTTTCGATCTAACACATAATCATCTACGCAGGCTTTTGTTCTGGTATTGACCAGTGTCATGGAGATCCATAATGTCCCTCCTCAGCCATGACCCCTCTGCATGAACAAACCATAGGGTTCAGATGAGTGAGGTGTCAGAAGGTCAGAGGTCGGGGGAGCTTTGACGCCTGACAGGGATGACTGTTTACGGTCAGCGAGGAGGTGGCGGCAGGGGAGCACAGAGACAAGGGCGAAGAGAGAAGGAGCAAGAGGGGCAGACGTGCCATGTTTACTGTCTTTCCTAGTAAGAGCCCGAGTGTGAACCGTAATGTGTATGTCGGTTGATGTAACCTCCGGCCTTCAAGGCACACAAGCCTGGGTCTCGCCTGATCCTGGCGGCTGACACGGAGGTGTGAAGTCAGGGGACGCGATGGGGAGGAGGGCGCCTCATGGTGGGGTTGCCAAGGGGCTGAACAAAGAAACACTGTGAGCTCCCAGGTTTCAGTGTTTGCTGTCAAACCAGCGATTACAAACCGTTTTTTTAATACTGTGTCGACTACGTGTGCGGGTGTCGTAAAAATGAATGTGTTTGATATAAGCTGATGTTACAGATGTTGAAAGTTGGAAGTAGATGAAGTCAATTCTGGGACAATTATGTAAGACTTGAGAGTTTTTGTTATTGCAGAATATTGTAATGTATAAGTGTTAATGTCATATAAGGTGAGGCCATACAGAGAAATGAGACTGTAGGCGAGGCAGAAAGTGTGGAGGGGACAAGACGTGATTGAGAGAGAAAAAACAGATGGG